GTTATGATCACCCTATTTCGATAAGGTGATGAAGGACTGATGGTTTTATTTTCCCACAATTATATGAGTAAAGCTGACGTTTCCCTTGAATTTTGCATAACCTTGTGTTTCCAAAAGATGTTCCGATTCAGGTTGGGCTGAAATTTTGACCTCGCTTAGATCTAATAAACACTCTTAACTGGATTCGAACCATGGCAGTGCAGTGTGTAATCTTGATACGTTAACCACTATGTTAGATTGCCACGAGTGCACTATCATGGTTCGACTCACGCTTGGGGGGTTGATAAGACCTATACGAGGTCGAAACTGAAGTCTACCCTGGATAATAACACCTTTTTGGAAGACAAGGATATGCAAAATGCAGTGGAAACGCCAGCTCTATTCATATCGTTTTGGGAAAATTCAACTACCAGTCCTTCGTTACCTTAAACGAAATATAGTGAGTATAACTCATATATATTATTTCTTGCTAGTCTTGAAAACCTATTCAAAACAAAATATTTTTATTTTACGAGTAACTCATGCTTAGTCTATTCCACTGGTAAGGTCGGTTAACTGAACAAGAGAGTGGAGTCAAATTTACAATTTACCACCAGACTTCCATAGAGTTTATTTAGTCGTTTAATTAATTAATCATGATTCAGTGACATAGCTCATAACCTATTTGACCACACCCCCTAACAACCGTGTTATTCATCTTCACACATTATATACTCCAGTCCACACACAGTAAGAGAGGGTGGACTTACAACAGCCTGAAGCCTCACATGCGGAAGCATACTGTCATCTGTGTAGCGGTATCACCGCATTCAGTGCTTTGTTGCCATCCTGCCGGCCGGCTGGGACAGTTCTTTGCGTAGCACCTGTACTGCGGCTCCGGAGGCTTGAGTACAAGGCGAGACGACACCTTATGATAGACATCGTTGAGACGAGCAGTCCTCCTGAACCATGCAGGCCTACCACTACCCGGGCGGCATTGTCGGTGGGCATGACATCTCAAATCGAGTTTTTGAGTCAGCACTCGGTGAGGCGACTTACTGCCCACATGCAGAACAACCACACAGTCATCCAGCTAGCCTCATAGTACCGCCTGGAGTGTCCGGCTTCAGTGAGACGGTTCAAATGAAGCCTGTCTACAATTGGACAGCCGTAGGCCACCCGCCTACTCAGCTGACAGGACTGCAGCCGCGGCAGATGCAACTTCCGGCAGAGTCGACCGACAACCCGAAAACTCCACAAACAGCCTTCACGGGTCTTCCGCCCCGAGGGAGGCCTGAAAACATCTTGCCTGGCAGCAGTTCGCTGGTCATCTCTAACCAACAGGCCCGTGAGTCCGAGCCCCTGCTGTCGCGGTGTGGACAGATTTCGGAAGACCAGCAGGCTGGCGTCTGTTCCGCCAACAGACTGACCTGCCCGGGCCAGAATCTGGTGGCCGGGTCGGTTTCTGAGGCTGGGCCAACTCAACAACTTACGCCTATTCACGACAAGTTGCTGCAACAGGCTAGCAAGCCACAATTGTTAGAAAGTCGGTCGGTACAGACGTCGGGCCTGGCAATTGGGCGGGTAGAGCGGATGCCGGCAATCGGGATGCATGACGCGCAGACAGGGACTCAAAATTCGAGGAACATGGAGGAATTTCTGGGTTTGAGTGAGTGTATAAGCCTGACTCATCCAAGAAGGCATAAAGTGATTTAAGCTAATAAAGATTAAGTGGACCTGTATTTGCTGGCGCATTCGAAAACCTTATTAATATTCAAGATGAGTAGGTCAAAAATGAAAACTTTTCTCTTAATGGACACTTAGTCAACCTTGGATGATTAAAGTGATTCAAGAATTGGTGAAGAGGGAGTGTTGTTCAGGCAAAGATGCATTTGCAGTAATAAAGAGAGTAAATAATATAATATTACAACCGAAGATTTTACTTAAATTGGGTGTGACTATGCTCCGAAAATATCAACAATTCTTGAACAAGGACATGGTCAAACTAGGTTGCTAAAAGAGATTCATGGATCGTTGATGCGAGAGTGGAGAAGATGTAAATGTGTATTTGTTGCTAAAATCAAGCAGGTTATTTATATTCGTAACAAGCAAGTTTCCAAAATGTCACTAGTTCTTCACTAAGCACTCAATCCTCATAGGTTACACACAAAGAGTAAAGGATTGATGTTGCGGGAAGTCGACGACGTGAAGATTTATTTACCATTACAATCGAAAAAATAAATTTCATTCTAAATTATTATGTTTTGGCACTTTCACTAATTTTTTGAAAAGGTCGGCTTTTACTGCTTAGGCTGATTTAATGATTGCTACTGAGAGAGCTTAGACCCGATAAAAGTGAAAGAGCTATATTCAGTATATTTCGTTTAAGGTGATGGAGGATTGATAATTGAATTTTGCCACAATTGTTTGAGTAGGACCTGTTTTTCTCTTGAATTTCACAGAGCCTTGCTTCCCAAAAGGTATTCTCATACAGCTGAATGCAGCTTAGACTTCATCAGCAACCCCATCGCGACTCAAACCCTAGTAGTGCAACGTACAGTATCAACACGTCACCCAATAGGCTACATTGCCACAAGTGACCTTGGTTCACAGGGCGGAAGTGAGTTTGAGATTCAATGTGAAAATGAGACAATTTATATCATTTTTTGTTTAATTCACCTGCCAGTCCTTCATTACCTATGGTGAATACAGCTTTTATATCAGATCAGCTGGTAGTCTCGAAAACTTGCATATGAAGTGAAAAAGAAGTAAAATTTCATTTGCAGTTCAGTGAATGTGTGGATATTCAGAAAATATCACCAATTCTTGAATATTTTCTTAGTAATTCTAAATCGCTTAGGGATTATTTAAGGAATAATCATAAGAAAGTGTCGAATAGGGATATTTTTGCTTGCATTTAGTTCGGTTGGACTTCAAATATACCGGGAAATAAGAAGAGTTGTATTTACCCTATTTCGTTTACGTAGATCAAAAACTGTCAGCTGAATTTTCCAACAAGAATATGAGTAGACCTCATATTTCCAGCAAATGTTGCTTAGTTTTGCTATTTTGACCTCGCATAGATACTTGACACTTAGTACATTTCCAGACTTTTCGCTGGCATCTTAGTCGGCATCTTAAGTAAGCCTTGCCATTCTTAGCACAACACTACAACTCGTCAAGAGACAAGTGAAGTCGCTCATTTGACCAAATGTGTGCTAAACAGTTGTTGTAGATCTCTTTCTGTCATGTGCTATTCACCATTTCTATATCCTCGTATCAGCCCTTCAATATCAATATTTCATATTTGTTTATCTCTCTTTTTGAAATCTATTCACACTCCCCGCTGGTCTCCTCAACCCTCTCACTGTGCCGGAAGTGGGAAGCTGCGGTTTAATCCACATTACTCTTACTTCGGGTACTATCAGAGTCCCATCTTGCTCCGCAGGATCCTTCCTTAGTTATCCTGTTTCAGTGAATT